AAGAATATACCTCATGTGGAGGAGGCTGTGAGAAGCTAAAATTGACTTTGGACTGAATGGGAAGCTCAACATCATCAGGATCACAGATTTGCCAGCATGGTCTGAGTAAATTTTCAACCTCCTGCCTTCCCTCTTTTCCAAGACTGATCAACATTAAGTTTCAACCTTTTCTCAAGTGCTTTACCATGTCCTAATAAATTTATTCGGTGTCTGAACACTAGTAGCCATCCCTCAAGTAGTGGTTTTGAAGTTTCTTTTATTGGTGCAAAAATAAATTTTTCTGCTAAAGTACTTAATTCAAGGACTATGTGATAATTTTAAAATTTTAATAGATTGTAGATATGCTTATCGTGTGCCACTAAATATAAACAACCTTTGCACAATGATGCTATTTACCCTACTAAATGTACCTTTATTTAAAAAATTCTTAGAATCTACAATATTTATAGCTCTTCTTAAGGATGTCATGCTAATTATCAAGTCTAAAACCAAACTGATTAATACAGTCGAGAAACCAACCAACTAGTGATTTCAATTTTCTAGTCGGTCTAGGGAGGGAGATCCCTAATTTGTGGGTCGCGGGCCTCCTATAATTATTACTGGTATATGAATGGGTTGCTATGACCCTTTTGTTTAAGTAGTAGGTTCTGAAAGCTGTACCATACATAATTGAAAATTCTTTTTAAAAGTAAACAGAGCTTCAAATCGAATAGCAAGAAAAGAGGAGATTTTCAATGCCAAATTCAAATCCAGTGCAAAAATGATTGATGAATTGGTACAGCATTCATCCCTAAACTGAGCTGATTTTGGGGGAAAAGAAAATTTCACTAAGCTGATTTTGGGGGCAAAATAAAACTTCACATGCACATGGAGGAGTTTTTGGGTTGCAATCAAAAGCAAGTACAATTAGTTGTTGGAGGAATTGGTAGAAAAGTGAAGATTTTGCATGCTGGTAGGCATCTATCTCACTAGAAGAAAGGGGAAGGAAGTTCTCCATCTGAAACCTAAACAACGAATAAAAATGATGATTAAGAGAGAATCTCATTAGGGCTAAGTGTTAGACTAACCTCTTGTTAATTTGGATGTTTCACTAACTAACAGGCCTAACATGACTTACACTAATTTGACTGGCTCCATTATCTTAATTAATCCAAAAAAAAAACCCATGTAATAAAAGTAGCCCAAAATAATCTACAACTATTTGCATTTGACCAGAAAATTATAAAGCAAATAATTTCAAGCATACAAAAATAATCCTAAATAGTTAGCAACTATTTAAAGAGCTAATTTTTATAAAATGACTCAATTGACCTTTCCCATCAATTAAGAAGCAAACAAAAGAAACAAATGAAATAATTAAATCATTGTTTCCAATTAGCCCCAAAATAGTAAGGAACTATTAAGCCTATGAATTTGGATACTAAGTCTCAAATAGACATTTCTCACTCCTTAAACCCCAAAATTGAAAAAACTAAACTGTTTCCTCCAATAACACATTGACACTTGCCGTTCAATGGAGAACTTCAGGGTTCTCTTATCTAGTTGGCAGATAACTCTTTGATCATGCTATCTTTCGGATGCAAAGAGTAATTTTACTTAACAAATAAACTCGTTGAAACTTAAATAGTATTAACCAGTTAATATTATACAACCATTTGCACTTTTTTTTTCCTTCCCTCCTTTTTCGTTATCATACATCTCACCACTGTAACAAGCAATCAATCTCAAAAATGGAAACATTGTTAACAGTACAACAAGAACAACTACGAGTACACACATTCAGTACTAATACTAGCCATTTCGTAGTTTATTTCAATATTAATGATTTTTTTAAAATGTAAACAATGTTGACACTAACCATCCGGAACACCTGCTAGTACACACATTCAGGATCAGTATTAGCCACTTCATAGTTTATTTCAATTTTTGCGTTTTTCTCAAATTACAAGTTCTGCAATCCAGTTAAATGTGCCTCTAATTACTCCGATTCTAGTCTCCTTAATTAGTTCCTCAAAATTCTCTATATTTAATTGTTTAACACATTCACTTCTACCGATTACTGTAATACTTTGTCAACTTCTAAGACATATTTAAACATACTAGCAACCATATAATCCGGTTATTAACATATGTATATATATATATATATATGAATGTATGCATGTATATATGTATGTATATATAAAGAATTAATTTTTCCTACACTAACAGTATATGCACTATTAGTTTTGGATTAATGATAGTTATGAAAAATGTAAATTTGAAATCCAACTTTTGCACATGTATCATGGATCAAATAGTAGTAGTATATATATTATCCGCAAGATTTACTCATATATAAAATCCAATTATTTATTTTTTCCCTAACAATGTTCCTTCCTATGTGCTTTGCTGAATGCACCTTCCGCCTTAGTATTTTCCTCAATTAAACTTCCCCTGGCTCTTAAACTTCCCCCGTCCCCTTCTGTTTATTACCTTGTACCTATTCTTCACTATAATTCACATGTCCTACTTAATTACGTTCATTATTTTTTTTTCCTCCTACCACGGTTGGTATAATTAGTTTAAGACATTAATCGTTATCATTAATTTCCCTATCAACCCTTTTTTTATCGACACTGTAAGTATTTGGGTCTCCACCCGACTAATTTCACAATGCCTGGGTAAGTTGGACCCAGCCATTGCCCAAGACGGTAACTACTGGGATTCAAACTCGAGACCTTGGAATAAGGATCCTAAACGAAACCAGTCCAGCTTCTTAGCTCGGGCAATTTCCCTATCCACCCTATTCATCAGAGGTAACAACCTCCGATTAAAAAAAAAAAAAAAACTACTACTAGCATAATCAACAACCAAGTACTGAGCTATTCCAAGCGAAGAGCTGAGCTATGTGGACCTGGCAGAAGCCTAGATCGCTTGTTTCTTGGCGTTGGCTCGGATGGTTTTGGGGTAACCTAATTAGGTTCCGATATCGTATATTCAAGTTACCTTTCTACCGCTTATATATTCTTGGAGGGCGGGATGCATAGGTGCAGGGAGATTAATCTGACAAAGTTGGGATACTCCCTATATGGAAAAAAAAAAAAAAAGCGTACTGACAAAATTTTCACTTTCAATCATGTCAATGGGCTTCCAATGTGGTCCTCACATTTTCTCTTAATAACCCGGGTCCTTGCCATATTCACCTGTACGGATTTTTTAGACATCCGGTAATCAATCTCCAACACGGGGCAGGACAAAACCCCCTGCATTTCCGTGTTTGGTTTCCCGTCTACATTCCATCCCTCCGTACACCTTTACCATTCCATTGGTATAGACGCGCTGTACCAATCTTTGGAATTCTCGTTACATTGCTCGGATATAGTGCCCTGTTTAAATCGCGCTTAATGCACCACAAAGAAGTACTACAGTGCTTCCCTTCTTTCAAAAATTAAACAGTTCTATAATGTAATGGTGGTTCGCCTCTTAATGTCTATACGAGCCTCTTTGAATTCTCTTCTTCTGTAATTTCTTTTTTGCAAAATTTAAAAAAGTTCAGTAGTGCATTGACAGTTCACCTCCTAACATCTATACAAGTTCCTTTGAAATTCCCTTCTCTTATAGTGTAACTTGTTATAAGAGTAAGATGGATGGTTGCTGTTATTGAAATAAAAAAAGATGGTAACAAGCTGATCGTGCAATTGCAGGGGACAAATTTGTATGGTTGCGAGATGATGAATTTGAGCCACTGGACGACCTGTAGGTGCTGTCTGAATTTTTGTGATTGCGGGATGATGAATTTGAGCCACGGGACGACCTGTAGGTGCTGTCCTTATTCAGTTAAGCTACTAGCAACTTCCGTCAGTCTAGTTTTTGCACTAAAACTTCTGTTACGTGTCGATCCTTTATAGACTTTCGAGGCAAACAAGCTATCTGGACCGGATTAATGCCTCTTGATCGATTTTGGCACCACATTTTTCTTGTGCGATTTAGGCACTCTCGAACCCCATGCCTTAAGGCATAGCATCTCAGCCTGTTGATGCAACCACTAATTGGATCTGGTATGGTTTCCAAGTCCTCAAGGACAAAATCGCTTCGACACCATACAATGATAGAGGTAGTATTTCCTTGTGAGGAACTACTACCATCAAAAATTTGACACCTATATTATATCGTTCTATATATTGGAATTTCTTTTAAACATGCGATGCAGACTTGAGGATCTGCACAATAATTCAACCAAGCTGATCACGGGAAATGCTCTCCTGTATACACAGAAAGCAAAAATGTTAAAAACGAGCAAGCAAACAAAATTGAGATTAGTATGTTGATTAATTGTTTAAATTAACTTGAACATAAGTTCATTTCAAAAGGGGTTCGCGAGGCGAATCCTAAGACGAAGTGTTCCAATACTACTCCGAAGTGATCGGATAAGGTGAAAGTATTATCGGGGCGTACGCCCAGGTGCTTGACGCGCCTCTGAAGTGGAATGTTAAAAGTGTATGCCCAAAAACTGTCTTAAAGAAAAGATTTAATTTCATCAATTAAGTTTTTAACTTTTTAATATGGGCAAATTATATTTTAGCTTCCTGTCATTTTCGCAAAAATCACATAACCCCCCCAAAATTTAAAAAGCTATACATAAATCCTCTGTGGTTTGGGTTGAAGTGTCAAATAGACAGAAAACACTCACCGTGACGATTCGTGGATTAAACACGCTTCAACAACTGGTAACAGTAAGAAACATTCCCATATGACTCTGACCATTTTATTGCACCCAATAAAGCCTAGATCTCTGCTCCTCATTAACATATCTAGTCTATGCGGGAATGGGGAAGTTTTCAATTGGGCTTCAATTGCTGACGTGGCTGGCTTCCATTGGATGATTGGTGGTCGTCCGGCCCGTGATTCTTTCCTCTTGATGGTTGTCCAGCCCGTTTGACAATTGGACAGGCGCCGAACTTGGTTATATCAACCAAGCATAGTACAAGAGACTGGGATTTACCAAAGATTCCTTTTCCGTGGTGTCAGGTGTGCACATGGCTCGAGAAAGAGAAACATCAGAGCTCAGACCAACGCCTTTTCTTCTCCTTTCTTTCGATGTCTGTCTCTTTCCCCCAAAAAGCTCTTCTTCCTCTCTTCTTGTTCCTGTTCGTCATCACCAACGGTGCCATTTTCCCTCTTTTATCCTTCATTTTTCCGATCGACAACAACGAAACCAAGATATGGTTGGTATTTTTTTTTGTTTCAAAATTTTCTTCTTCCTCCTCCTTTCTAGAGCTTCTCTAACCTTTTGTTTTTCCCCTTTTTTACGGGTTAGATTGTCTTATTTTTTTGCTGTCTGTGATGTTGCGATTTTGCAGGTACGAAATTTGGAGATTTTCTCTATCGTTCTCATGCTACTTTGTAAGTCTATCTTCCCTCTTGAAGCTGCTCCTTTTCCTATCTTATCCTTCATTTTCTCTGATCGACGACAACAATACCAAATATATGGTTGGGAATTTTTTGCTTCGCTTCAAAATTTATTTTTCCTTCTTTTTCTAGAGCTTCTCTAGCCTTATGTATTTTTTCCTTCTTTTTTAATTTCCTTTTTTTTTTCCTTTTGCAATGTTTAGATGTTGCAGTTACGAAATTTGCAGATTACCTCCATCATTCTCATGCTATTTTCTGAGCTTTTCCCCCCTTTTTTGAAGGTAGGTTTTATATGGTTATTTTCTAAAAGAAGAGTTATTTTTGCTGTTTCCTCCCCTTACTTTTGCCTGATTTCCATCTTTTCCGTCCGTGACTAAAAAACATTAAAATGCAGTTAACAAATTTGATTAAGTTATTTCTGGTGGATTTAAAAAGTTCCTTATCCATGTTTGATTATATAATTTGTATATTTTGGTGACGTTGCAGGTCCAAAAATTGGAATTTTCTTTGATTCTCTCAAAAACTACTAATAAGGTGGTATGGATCAACATATTCCCAACCTATTTTGCATAATATTGGTGAATGTTTTGAGCGAGCCTTCTTCTATTTGCGTATATGTGATTACAGTTTATACTCTGCTTTTCTTTATTTTTTTCTCTGCAAAAGAGATTGCTTTGGATTTTTTTGTTATTTATTTCTTGTTATGACATATTAGATGTAAGTTTCAATTTTGGTTATCATGAAGTGTTTATCCTCTTAGTTGTGTCTTGGAAAGTTTAAATTTATCATGTTTCCTTGAGCCTTTTAAACTTAAAATTGATCAATCCTCACTAGACGTTGGATTCATTTGTGCATTTCATAGGTCTCCACTTTTTGGGTCTTTTTGTACGTGGGGTTACTTCTTTCCCTTTTCCCCTTTTCTGTTTTAAAGTAATGTAATGATATAATCATGTTTAATTTATCAAATGTTTGACAAAATGTTAAAACTGTTAATTTGTTAAATAGCAACTAAATTGGAAAAAAGTTGTCCCCTATAACCTATTTTCTTGATTTTCAACCGAAAGACTTTGTTCCTCTATCCATGAATTTCCTCTCTCTTCTCATGGTCTTCACTTACTGATAAAAAGGAGAAGCTTTATGTGCTTATATAATCTCTTCTTCTATTGTAGTTTTACAAAAGGAAAAATATCTGTTTTTAAATGCTAATCTCTTAGAGAGGTCTTCTATTTAAGATTTTTCCCCATGAGTACGAATGTGTAATCTTTGTCATGGTGCAGGTTTTTTACCCATAATATTTTGGTTGGTCTATTTATTTAGACAAAAGAAAAAGTGTGAGGTTGGATATTATATAGGTGCAATCTTCTGATGATTTTTTCCCTTCAGCCTTCTGTTTTATTAAAATACCAGATTTTGAACAAATATCATGAATCAGAAATGTCTATGCTCAATTATATATGGTAGAAACTGATATGTGAAAATCGGCTCTAATAATTTGAAATTCACTCCTTTAATTCATTAGTGAACAGTTTGTTAATAGTAGCCTTCCTACCTTTTTTCATGCAACTTATTTTAGACGGGTTTTCCTTCTGGGTTTATATTGTGTATGACATGTGTTTTTAGCAATTAGAGGATTATTTTTGACTAATTAATATGTTAACAGGTTACAAAAAATAAGTTAGAGTGGGACTAATTGGCAGTGGAGTGAGAGAAGTCTTAACATGGGAAAGAACAAGCATAAAAGGCATGTTAAAGATTTGTCAATTGACAGAGCAACTCTGTATGAACATTAACTAGATGCTGCCTAAGGTATATGTAATTTGGTGATAAAACACTACATTCTGCTGATTTATTTTGGTGGTTCTTGATTCTCATTTTGCAGAATTTAAGTAGTGAACTCTACCACAAATCCTTGAAAGATGCTGCTAAGGTATAATTTGTTCATTATCTTTCATTTGCTAATCACCGGATAACATTTTGTTCCATGTGTGTTTCTTGTATTAGGAACAAAAAGAGGTTTACTTGAAATATCACACCTAGATAACTAGTTATTACAAAAATGGCTGGTCTGTGTGTCTATCTATTTTTTGCATATGATGTTTTGATTTGGACTAAAGATTAAAATGTTTAGTCCAGATTATTATAGAACAATGGTGAAGTATGTGTATGTGTGTGTATAAAAGACTATTACATGTGGTGAGTTTATTCCTAGCATGTATTTAGAGACCATTAACAGGTATAAGAGGAAATTATGGCTGCATATTTGCTTAATGCAGCAGTTTTGCTAGAGAAGTTTAGCTTAGTTATACTTGGCTTAGTGCCTTTAGATCTCGACATATTGCTGTTGCTTGGGTAAATATTTTTGCTTTAGGAATCAGTGTTTTTTTATTGCCTTGAAGACTGCAGGTGTAAAAAACATTTACTCATGTTGATTTATTCACCAAGATTTATTTCTACCATTTTTTTGGGATGTCATTTACTTTATGATCATATAGAAGAGATTTTTATTATGGCTATAGCAAAACGTAGGGTAGCACAGGCGTGATGTGGACATGATTTGCTTCAAACAAGCAGATTTTGTTTGGGAAAAAATCATATGATTTGCTTTAGTATTTGTATTTAACATGTATTTGCATTATATAAGTTGACTTTTTTTTGAGATTTTAATATTTCAGGTTCCAATCTCGGTCCTTTATGTTTTGCATTGCTGGTCAAGCAGAACCACCCAAAAGAAACAAGAGGTCTAGCTGGTTGAAATTTATCATATGCGGAATTTGATAGTTTTCTTTGATGAAAAAATCTGGATTTGTTTTTTCTTTACCTTTTTTCGATTTTCAGTTGGCTTTTTCTTTAATTTTGGTTTCTTAATCAATTTGGATGTGAAACTTTGGAAATGCATTCAAATGTTTAGTGCTTAATGCCTATTTATGGTTTGGCAAACACAAGTTCTTTGCTTCCTGCTAATCCTCAGGCTTTGTTGCTATTGTTTTGCTTCGTATCCTTTATGCTCTAATATGTACCAAATGTTTATTACAAGATATTAAGATATGCAACAAAGGATTGGAGAAATTCTTTTCTCAAAGTGCACATTATTTAGACTCTATGTTTCTTTCCCTGGAAAAAAGTTTATCTAATTTGATTTTGACTTTTCTTTTTCCTAATTAATTTGTTTTTTTCAGCATTTGTTTGTTCTATATTATTGCTAGATAAAGGAACAAGGAAAAAGGAGGCTGCTTTTCTCCATTCAACCATGAAGGTGTGTTTTAATGTTTTTGTGTTCTCTTCATTTCCCCCATCCCTCCGTAGTAGTTTATTGTAAATTTTTTCTCACTTTGCCCTATTTATTGGTCTTGAAAAAAGTGGAGGATGATTGTTTGGGAAGGTTATCCTATTTCCTCTAGATTTAAAGTTAGTGGATTACCTATTTCATTTTTATTTTTTATGTTTTTCTCTTCTCGTATTTTTTGCATCATATTGAAGCATTCCCTGAAACTGCAAAATGGATTGTGGGAATAAAAAGATTAACCTCCAAGTGAAACTTCATATATAAGGGAATATCTGACTGTTTTGCTAGCAATACAAAATAAAAAACAATTGGTTGCGGCCAGATTATCTTTGCAATTTTTCCATTGGTGAGTGTTTAGTTGTAAAAAAACAAGACATATTGTAGTAATGTTGGAATCTTATTGATTTTGTGTTAGTATGACTAAATATAATGTATATTGATGATATCTTGGCAATGAATACTCTTTCTCGGCTCTATTTGATGAACCTCCTCTTGTTCCCATAATGATTCTATTGTTTGGTGATTTCTCAAATCATTTTCTTGGTTTTGTTCTTGTTCTAGCTTTTATTTGTTTAAGCTATTATGGGACATCCTTTTTGATCATTTTTTCCTCATAGTTGATGGCTACCAAAGCACATAGAAATAAGGTAATTTCTTCCTGACAAAAAAGAAAATGGTTATGACTTAAGATATGCATGTTAGTAATTGTACTTCTTGCTGCAATTTAATTTGTTTGATTGAAGCGTATATAAGGTTCCTAAGCAAGACACAAAGGGCATCATCCAGAAAGCTAATTCTTTTGACTCTTGAATCTTTGAATACCTGTGCATCGTGGCTATGGTAAAAACTTGGTTCTAAATTTCTTTTTTTTTCTTTTCAAAATAGAAGTAAGAAAATTGTGCCCAAGATAAAGGTGCAAAGGTGCAACTGTTTATGCATACGTGGTCTACTATGAGAGATAGGTAGCCAGCTATTTCACACTTTTGGATAGCAATTTATAACTCAAGTAAGTGAAATTAAATTCTTGGTCTCTTGTTTTCTTAGTTTTGTATCAATATGTTTGATTATGCCCACAATGTGCTACTTGCTTTAGTAAGATGTTTGGCGTGTTATGTAAATAAGTTTTTAATCATTGACTTTAAAATTTTGGCTACTAAAATAAGCACAAAAATCAAGACGAGAAAATTCCTATGGTAGATTTAATATAAATTAGGAACTTAAGTGGCATGCCACTTTTGCTGTTTCATTGGAGCACAAGGACTTGACAATTTAGGAAGTGGTTTAACTAATTAAATGGCTGAAACGGTTTAAAAAATGTCTTTTTAAAAAAAGGTGAAACATGTTTAAATTGTAGCACTAAAGAAGTTGTCATTTTCTTTTTTATTGATTTTTTTATACAGTATGTATTATACAAAAAAAAAATTTGTCTTTCTTCTTTTCTCGAATTCAAGTAAGAACTTATATACAACCCATAAGTAATGACAAAAAGGTGCAGAATATTGGCTGATTAATATCTTGTCCTTTTTTGGGAGCACAAGTGGGAATGCAAAATTTGGTTTAAATCCATTTGACAAGTGTGCAGTTTCAAACCTTTAAACATGAGATACACAATTTTTATACTTAGTCTAACTCAGCCAAATAAATAGTTGTGTATCTACTTGGTGGTGTAGAGATTTTATTACATTTGATGAAACAAGAGTATGAAGCCTCCTTGGTGAGTTCTTACTTTATGTTATTTAAATAGTCAAGATTAGTTCAAAAAATAATATTGCAAGTTTTCTATTCTACAAGTTCCTGTATTCTTTTCTTTATGTCTCTACGTTTTATGAATTCCAAAGAAATTGAACTTCTTTCGTCTTTTGGTGATTTTAATTCCAAGATTCAAAAACATTTTTGAATAAGTTTCTACTGTTGTAGGAAAACAAGATTAAAGTGATAAAATTTGTTGGGTCAGTGGATGAATATTTTGGCCTCAAATGCCATTTTGAAAGGTATTGATACCTTTCTTTGTTGTTATCATGCACCCAAAATATTTCCATTATATATCTATTTCATTTGCTTTATCGTATCTCATTTGCTGTATCAACAAGGTTCTAAACTTGAGATAATGACTTGTTTATCTTATCACAGATTGGAAGCATATGCAGCTCTCCACTCCCGATTGTGTTTGAGTCTTGTATCTCTTAGTATTTACATTAAAAAAGGGAGTCTTCATGGGTGTTAGTAGTTGAGAGAAAAAGGGCATTTCATAGGCTTTTTGTATTTTTATAATTTATACCTTTTGGAACATTAAGTATATTGTACTGATACTGCTTTCTAATGGTAAAATCTGGTGGAGAAAGAAATCCAGTAAGTCCGTAACTTACAATTATACTTTTCGTTTTCTTTCTAGATGAGAGTCTATTTTCTCAAGTCTGCTTACATGGATCCACTTCACAGTTACAGTATCATCGAAAATTACTCTTGCTAATTGCTTTAGAAACTTTTGAATGGATAAATACGACACAGCTTTATCTAATTTTGAATGGGTGAATACAATATTTATGATTCAGCTTAATATAATTTGCAACAATTATGTACTTTGTATAACTGGAAAAACCTAAATAATTGGACAAACTTGAAATTTAATTATGTACCATGCATAACTGGGCAAACATGAAAAGTGTTCCCCTCCTAGTCTCTTTTCATCAACCGAAAGAGCTTTGAAGTTAGACTTTCCATTGAATGTTGGTGAAGGCAATACATTTAATGGAGAAACCAAACCAGAAAGCCTAGAACATATACATTGAGAAAAAATCAAAAGCGGTGGTGGCCGGAAAAGCTTTCGCTAGCAATAGTAAGACGTGTAATTTGCATCAGCAGGGCCGCAGCAGGGCCGTCATGAGTCAGCTTCAGCACCACAGGGGTGGCGGCCATGTAACCATCATAATTTCAAATAGGTTAGGCAAAGCCGCTTAGGCCACCACCCACCTCTCTCGTCTGTGCTGGATTTTAGATCTAACCAGACAATGACACAATTCCGATTATAATTCGAACAACATTGAAGCTGGCTTCTTTTCATTTTCTTTTCCTTTTTAAAGTAACCTTTCTCAAGTAGTGTACTTCGCAAGTTTGAGATCGGCTGTAATTTGGGCAAATTGCAATTAATAAGGTAGTGATGTCATATTGCTAAGTTTCGGTAGACCAGAATTTGGGCAGGAAGAATTACGTGTACCACCTGCATCTGCTTGCTTTCCCACAGCCCACCATCGGTTGGATTGGTAAGGTGGTGCCAACCCTCCATTTTTCCGTCCTTTTCATCATCCTCTCCTTCTTTACCTTCTACTGCTAGTACAGGTTGTCCCAAAGCAGCAAAATCTTAAATTAATCAACGCTTAAGCATTATAATCACTGATTTATTAAATTCCCAAAGCCTGACAGCTTCTATTCAAAATGCTCAAGTTCCATCTCATATGCTAAGCTGATGTCGAAAAACTTACCGGACACAACAATAGCTTTCGTGATACTCTTTCACAGCTACTTTTTGATCTTCAATGGTAGATCTATGGTTTTAATTTTCTGGATTAAATTTTCTCTCCTTCATTCTCGGTAATGTTTTTCTCTCTCTTTCTCACGACAAAGATGCAAGGGAAAATTAGAAAAATCTGACTTCATCTGCTTCCTTTTTGTATTTATATTAGGGTAATTTGGACATTTTGCCTACGAAACGTCACGGTGGGTGCTTTCCGTCTATTTGACACTTCAACCCAAACCACAGGGAGTTTATATATAACTTTTTGAATCATGGGGTGGTTATGTGGTTTTTACGAAAACCACATGAGGCTAAAATGTAATTTGCCCTTTTAATATTCAACTTTATTACTAATTTACTACCTTTTATATTGAGACATTGAATGAGTTAGATATGAATTTTTTTGTAATATAATATATGGTTAGGCAAAAAAGATAAAGGAAATGAGGTTGTTACCTGTAGATTAGATCCTGTGATAGGATGAAAATTTCAAAACCACCACCAACTATTGAAAGAAAAGTACCTAGTGTATATACACTAGATAAAGATGATGACATGGATGATATTGACTTTGATGAATAGTATCATTTTATTTGTCAGTTTATTTCTAATTATTGGTGTTATTCCTTGTTATGTATTATAAGCAATATGGTTGCTAATTTGGTATTTTATTTTTTATACTAGTTAAGTGTGTTTGTTGAAACAATTAACCTTTGAACTTTGTGTCTACTTCAATTTATGCATTTGTAATTTAAGTGCTTGATAATGTGGTGACTTTTGAATTGTGACTAGTTTGTTTTTAAGATTGAACTTTTTGTAATGTTACTTATTTTGCTTTTTGGTGCAGCTAATGTTAATATGCGTGTTTCTTAAATTATCAGTTGAAGTTATACAATAATAATTCTTTATTTGTACAAATTTTTTTAATTTTATCTAATTTTTTATTATATTTATTATATCTTCAAATGACTTTTTAATAATATATATCATATTTATATATTTTTTTCAAAATAAAAATTTGCGGGGCTTATTCCTCGCGCCTTGGGCCTTTCGTGCCATTTGCAATGCCTTTGCCTTTTAAAACGTTGATTTCAATTGACCATTGGCGACAGACCGTTCATAATAGTAAACAATGAGTTCTTGGCATTAGTAGTTAATTACTCGGCTAGTTCCTTCAAGGCTCCGTGCTCATTAAAAATTTAAAACACCCTTCCACACACACACCAAAAGAAATGGAGATTTCTTTGACCCCACCACCAGTTGGGCCGCCTACGCAGTCGCATGGCTTGCCACGATGGTCATCGCGCTCTTTTGTAGGCGTTTTCATCAGAAAAAACTCAACCTCCCACCAGGTCCAAAGCCCTGGCCTATCGTTGGAAACTTAAACCTCATTGGCAGCCTCTCCCATCGTTCACTCCATCAACTCTCCCTAACATACGGTCCCCTAATGCACCTCCGTTTTGGCTCCTTCCCCGTTGTGGTCGGCTCCTCCATGATGATGGCCAAAGTTTTCCTCAAGACCATGGACGTCACTTTTGCTGATAGGCCCAAAACTGCAGCCGGAAAGTATACTAGCTATAACTGCTCTGGCATCATGTGGTCCCCTTACGGAGCATACTGGCGCCAGGCGCGTAAGATGTGCCTCATGGAATTGTTCAGCGCAAAAAGACTCGAGTCCTATGAACATATTCGTGTGGAAGAAATGAACTCACTTCTTCTGGGGCTGTTCCAATCGTTAGGCAAGCCTGTCTTGTTGAAAGATTATCTCACAACTATGAGCTTGAACGTAATTAGCAGGATGGTGTTAGGGAAAAGATACTTGGACGAGTCTGATCAGAACTCAATCATCACGCCTGAAGAGTTCGTGAAGATGATGGACGAGCTTCTTTTGCTGAATGGCGTCTTTAACATTGGTGATTCGATACCTTGGCTGAATTTCTTGGATTTGCAGGGATATATTAAGAGGATGAAAATCCTGAGCAAGAAATTCGACTGGTTTCTAGAGCATGTCCTGGACGAGCATAACGTGGCCAGGATGAGGAATGACGAACAGAATCGGGTAAGCAAGGACATGGTGGATGTCCTTCTGGACCTTGCGGAGCATCAGACTTCGGAGGTGAAACTGGAGAGGCATGGAGTCAAGGCATTCACACAAGTATAGTGGCTCTATTTGTACTATATATATATATACATATATATATATATATATATTTATATATTATTCTAAGAACTTCAATAACTGCACTTTTGCGTAATGAATGAACTCCAGGAACTACTACTCAGTGGAACTAAAAGTAGAAATTATTCCGAGAACTCTAATAATTGCACTGAAATCTTTTTGAATAATGAATGAACTCCAGGACCTACTTGTTGTGGAACCGAGAGCTCAGCCATGACAGTCGAATGGGCCATTTCAGAGTTGCTGAAAAAGCCAGAATTATTCAAAAAGGCAACCCAAGAACTTGACCGGGTTATCGGTCAGAACCGATGGGTAACAGAGAAGGACATCCCAAACCTTCCTTATGTAGAAGCTATTGTTAAGGAAACAATGCGTATGCATCCCGTAGTACCAATGCTGGTGCCAAGATGTGCCCGTGAAGATTGCAATGTTGCAGGGTACGATATCCAAAAGGGAACTCGAGTTCTCATTAATGTTTGGTCAATTGGGAGGGATCCCGAATTGTGGAAAGATCCCCAGGAATTTTACCCTGAAAGATTCATTGGAAAGGAAATTGATGTCAAAGGGCAAGACTACGAGTTGTTGCCTTTTGGTTCTGGAAGAAGAATGTGCCCGGGGTACAGTTTAGGCCTTAAGGTTGTCCAATCCACTTTGGCCAATCTTTTACATGGATACAACTGGAAGTTGCCAAGTGATATGAATCCTGAGGAGTTGGACATGGAAGAAATCTTCGGGATTTCAACACCAAGGAAGTTCCCGCTTGTTACCATTGTTGAGCCTCGGCTTCCTCATCATCTTTATTCACAACGATTTGATATATATGCTTAATTCTCAGGATCGCGATCAAATTGTGTTCAAATAATTCAGCAATGCAAGTTCTAATAGAATTTGTATGTAGCTGCAATGCACTTATATATGGGCAAATTACACTTTATCCCGTGGTTTAGTGTTTTTCTACATAATCCTCCTATAGTTTTAAAAATTATATATAACATTTTCATAGTTTGAATTAAAGTGTCAAAATGACGTAATTGATCATTCGTAATGGAACATTTAAAAATGTCGATATTACCCTTATAAGTACATGACACACTAACCTGTATGATTTTATATTTTACCATATAATCTCCATATGATTTAATACTTTACTATATAACTCCCTTATGATTTTCAAAATATACACATAACCCCCTTGATTAATAAATAATTTTCAACTTTACATAAAAAGTATTTTTATATTTTTGGTGGCTCCATTACAATGATCAATTCCATCACTTTAACACTTTAATCCAAACCATGAAGGGGTTATGTATAGTTTTTGAAACTATAGGAAAATTATGTAAAAAAGTACTAAACCAAAGGGATAAAGTGTATTGACCTATATATATATATATATATATATATATATATGTTTTGTTTGTTGTTGATGGCATTATATTGAGCTTGTTATCCCCATTTTGTGCAATTAATGTGTGAATATATCTGTGTGTAATGTGTTTCTTTCCTTTTCATACACTTACATGGTGTGTGTTCCAAATAAATTACAGTTTCAATGTTTACAAAATTTGTCTTTTGCTTTCTCATGCTGAAAATTAAAGAAAAATTGTGAAATTTGAATTGATAAAAATTTAAATCAACAATCTAGGTTTGTTCGCGATCGAGATTGGATGGGCTGATCTTA